TGAGACCACTATCCACCAGAGTTTAAATTCAGTGGATGTAAGCAATTATAGGCAACCATACGACCTTCAACACACCGTTTTGTCGGCTATAAAAGGCCACCACGTGAAAATGTGTAACAATTCAAACGAGAAAACTAGCGGCCTTGTTTAAAACAAAATAAGTTACGAAAAACAAATATGACTCACATGAACAAACGACAACCAATTAACTACAGGCTCTTGACTTTGGACAGGCACATAAGGAATGTGGCGGAGTTCAACATGTTTGTGAGCGGTCAACCCTTATCCTAACCTGGGACAGTAGTGTAACAGCACAACATAAGACAAAACTTTAAAAATCAGTTGCAATTAACTTAACTCAATAGATCGGTATGACTGGGCAATATAAATCCATCAAAATCCTGGGGTGGTCTCGGGTGCTCTGGAATGGTAAGCAGATCCTACTCAACGTGTGGCACCCGTCGTGTTATTCGTGAAAGTACAAACCCAGTGATTTGGTATAATTCGGTGGGTCACATTCGAGGAAAGAGGACGGGATTGTGGTTACGACAATTGGAACATATCTGTCGTCACCTGTGAAACAGATATTCCAAAAAGTAGTTTTATTCAATTAAGAGCGAGGTACATCGGAAAATGCAATTTTATGAATACAAGATTAATATTCATATATACTCAAATAATCAACACCTTAAAAAAAATTTAAAGAATTGATGCTTTGTCGCTTAGTCTCATCCCCTGTTTCCTGTAACTTTAGTGTGAGTTGATTAAAAGTGTCTCATGTGTTGACAATAAAGTACAAGTCATTTGATTTGTGTCGCGGAAGTGAGACACATCAAACCTATATTCCGTCATCGGTAGTGGCGTCGGTGTATTCATCATTTGGATCATTAGGTTTCGCGTTTGAATTGGTTTACATTTGTCATTTCGGGACTTTTATAGCTTACTATGAGGAATGGGTTTTGCTCATTGTTGAAGACCATACAGTGCCATATAGTTGTTAACTTCTACGTCATTTGGTATGTGGTGGAGAGTTGTCTCATTGGCAATCATACCTCATCTAATTTTTATATAATTTTTCTTTGCAGTAAATATTACCGAAGTAAACTGTTTTGTGATGATATATTTGTAAACCTCCATGCATTGTTATAAAACTAGTATAGGAGGTAATCGTCAAGATCAAGATAAAGCATCTACAGAAAAACGTTTTTCTTAATTTATTTTTTACCGATGAATCATGGACTTTTTACAGTCAACATTACACTTTTACACTGACAACAGCAATCTCAGGTGAGCCACAGGGTTCCGAAGAATCCTTCACGAATGTATAATAATACGGCTTCCATATGAGAACTAAAGAAAACAAACGACCGGACAAAGTGTTTTGGGGATATCCCCCTTATGTCCGAAATGTTGTTATCTTTTAGTCCTTTCTTTCTTATTTTTGTCTGCCGTCCCCCTTTTCATACCAAATAACTCTGAACAATAACTCGAACTTTAATTTGAACTTTTAACTCAGTGGAAAGCGACACTCATCCGACGCACATTAAACAAACGACATATGGAAATCGGTTTAAAAATAGAACTATTTTTTTTCCAAAATGGTCACATGGTTTAACCTCATCAAGTAATGTGATAACCACATCAAAGAATGACAGGACCACATCTGGAAACTGGAACGAACACATCATGTAGTGTGAAATCGTCAAATTTTGAAATATCATTATGTAATATTAAAGTTATATAAAGAATTAACAAATCACCATTACCAAATAACAAAACGACATCATGTAATGAAACATCTATATTACGTTATCCCACATACACATCAAGTAATGTTATAACCACATTGCCTAATGACACAACCACATTGAATTATGGTGAAACCCCATCTTGTAATGACAAAACCATATTAAGTAATGACAAAACTATATTAAGAAATATCAAAACTTTATTAAGTAATGTCAAAACCGTATTATGTAAAGACGAAATATCATCCTGTAATAATTAAACCACCTAACGTAATATCAGATACCAAATAAGACAGCTGTGGTGTTCCGTAGTTAAACGTCCCATTATCGACAGGACAAAGATGCTTATTCATAAATCCGGCGTATTCCAAACTGACGACACCCTACCCAACTCCATTATATTAAGTTCCCCACAAGAAAAAACATGCTGACCATATTTTTATACACCAAGGTAAATTTAGCGACCAATTAAAGAGGGTGTGGATGGGGGTTTACAGAATAGAGAATAATGGGTAAAAAATATAAAGAATAGAAAAAAATGGACCAAAATAATGAGGTGCTAAAATATAAAAAAAAATAGAGAATAATGGGAAAATAGTATAAAGAATAGAGAAACATTGCCTAGTATATTAAAGAATACAGAAATGAAGGATCCCTCATCCAGACCCTCATTAAATGAGTCAGTATAGAATTTTGTAAAAGTTAATATTATATATTTAGCTAGTTACGTAGAATATACATGTATAAAGAAAAAGATACTACTAAACAGGATAGATACACTTGTAGTTGGATTTCAATTTGATGCTTCAAGTGTTTCAAAAGAATCGAGCTTTCAGAGGCATTTAATTCATGTGTATAGCAAACCATCCATTGTAGATGCAGTTTTCATTTTTGAAATTGAATATAACACAATAAAGTGTATGCGTCCGACGCGCTGTTATGGGTTACCGTCATTAGGAACGCCCAAAGCCTAACATTTCAAAGACAAGGATGTAAAAGACCCGTAACAGGTGAGGAGCTATATATCAGTATGACCAAAAAGGACCTAAACATAAAAGCAAATCTATCTGAGGTTAATTTTGCTGAAACAAATCTATTATACTTTCTAGATATTATAACAGTGAGAATGGAAACGGGGTATGCGTCAGAGACAACAACCCAACCAAAAAGCAGAAAACATTAAAACTTTTCTTTCAAAGTTTAGAAATTTTAATTTTTCAAATCTCGAAATTTTGACTTTAACTTGAAATTTTGACTTTTTAAAATCTCAAAATTTCGACTTTTTCTAAGTATTTAAACTTTGATATTAGTATTCAAATACAGTTATTATAATTTTAGAAGGTGGAGACATGGACGTAAACTATTAAAGCGTCATCCACATATTTTGGCAATTTATATTCAGAAATTGGTTTTGTTCTTAAATTATTATATGGATTAGCATTTACTATTGAAGAGTTTCATTCGGAAAGAACATGCATGTAGACAGAAAAATAGAAATGTTGTTTTCCCCATATTCCATGTTTTAGTTTCCACACCCCTGTCATTAAGGATCGTCAGAGCTGAGGACATTTAGCATCCTATGCTTTATGGTTGGGTTTAAAGGCCTGTTTTGTTTCCCAAAAGCAAGTGGCAGACTTTGCCTTGTTTAAACAATGGTAAATCAAGTGGCAAATATGCCATGCATATTCAAGACGACTCATGAGCTATTCAGTTTTCTAGTTTCTATAGACATTAGCCCTTGTCTTGATATATTAGACTGTTGAATAAAAGTATGGCGTAATGTAGGTGTGTCGAAATATCGGGGTTTGTCCAGACTTGAAGTAGATATTTGTACGTGAAACATATTACATTTATTCTTTCGCAAAACAAGATTTTCTGTCTAAAATAACCTCTTTAAAATGGTGTTGTTTATTAAAAAGTGCTTATCAAGTTTGTGATGTATCTGGTTCTCCGCTTGCTGATAAAAATGACTGTGAATGTGATGATCGCAAACTGTGGAAAAGTCGAAGTTTTCAGTTTTAAAAAAGTCAAGATTGAAATTTTGAGTTTGAAGTCGAAAGTTCGAGTTTAAAAAAGTCGAAATTTCGAGTTTTAAAACAGTCAAAATTTCGACTTTTAAAAAGTCGAAATTTCAAGATTTTAAAAAGTCTAAATTTCAAGTAAAGTCAAAATTTCGAAATTTGAAAAGTTAAAATTTCAAGTTAAAGTCGAAATTTTAAGATTTCAAATGTCAAAATTTCGATATTGGAAAAAAAGATCAATGCCAATTTTATCTTTACTATTTCCCTAATACGCGTCCGTAGAATAAAGAATAATGAGCAAAACATATAAAGAATAGACAAAAACGACCTACAAAATTAAAAAGTACAGAAATGGAGGTCCCCATTAAGACCCTCGTTTATGTGAGTTTTTCTTTTTTTAGCGTATGTTTTCTATCTAGCTGGCTGTTTTTTTAGCGTATGTTTTCTTTCTAGCTGGCTGTTTTTTTAGCGTGTGTTTCCTGTCAAGCTGGCTGTTTTTTTAGCGTATGTTTTCTATCTAGCTGGCTGTTTTTTATCGTATGTTTTCTGTCTAGCTGGCTGTTTTTTAGCATGTCTTTTCTGTCAAGCTGGCTGTTTTTTTAGCGTATGTTTTCTATCTACCTGGCTGTTTTTTTAGCGTATGTTTTCTTTCTAGCTGGCTGATTTTTAGCATGTGTTTTCTATCTAGCTGGCTGTTTTTTTAGCGTATGTTTTCTATCTAGCTGGCTGTTTTTTTAGCATGTGTTTTCTATCTAGCTGGCTGTTTTTTTAGCGTATGTTTTCTATCTAGCTGGCTGTTTTTTTAGCGTGTGTTTTCTGTCAAGCTGCCTGTTTTTTTAGCGTATGTTTTCTTTCTAGCTGGCTGTTTTTTTGAGCGTGTGTTTTTTTGTCAAGCTGGCTGTTTTTAGCGTATGTTTTCTATCTAGCTGGAAGTTTTCTTAGCGTGTGTTTTCTTTCAAGCTGGATTTTTTTTTAGCGTGTGTTTTCTGTCAAGCTGGCTGTTTTTTAGCGTATGTTTTCTATCTAGCTGGCTGTTTTTTCGCGTATGTTTTCTTTCTAGGTGGCTGTTTTTTATCGTGTGTTTTTCTGTCAAGCTGGCTGGTGTGTTTGGAAACGATGAAAAGACAAAAAACAGTATACAGAAAATTTAAATTGATGGAAAATGGAACACAAATAAAAATACATACATTGCCTAAGACTACATCGGATTATGATTAAAACATTCACTTACCATACAAAGAATGTCTTCTGGTTCTTGGATTTTATTACCATTCTTCTGTGATGCCCGATCTAATGTCTCAGTACAATTAAAAGGATAGGAAATATTGAGCAAAGAATAGTGTACGAACTTATATTCTGTATTTCGAAAATCTTTTACATTAATGAATGAGCTGTCAAATACATGAAATGAACGCACAGATTTGTCACGTGACTGCTTATGGACAGGAGTGTCTACTTGGATACTATTTTCGTACTTTTTGCTCATATATATCCATGCAAACAAGGGAATATATCCACAGAACATGACAACAGCGGCGAGACATCCCGTCTTTAATCTGCAACTAGAAATAAAATAAGTAGAAACTAAAAACCAAAATACCAATACTAATGTTTGAACATAAGAACTCCTAAAACAAATGACCTACATTTATAAGCTCTGTTTAGCACTTAGGTTCGTGATGAAGGGGGCTTTTAACGACCTTAACTATCCATGAGGGTCGTGCACGGTTGGTTGATGATGATGAGGAGGGTGATTCTAGAGTTCGTGTTGATCAGTCTTTTGTTTTCTATTTTGTGTTTTGTATACTGTTAATTTTCTTGGTCGTTTTTCTTTTTTTGCCATAGCATTATCAATTTGTTTTCGACTTAAAAATAAATATGAGCTTGAATATTCCCTAAGTATTTTTCGCCCCTCTTTTTTTAACACTCAAAGTTATTCTTTATGGCACATACTGCTGTTTAACAGTAAAAACTTGGAGAATTATATTTATAATAATATCTATAAATACAATATCTATAATTGATCATAATTACACAAGTTTGTCGTATTTGTACCTGTTTTTTGTGCCTCGTGTTTGGTTGTTTTATTTTGTAATGTTTTAATGGAATAAAAGGTAAGTTTCGCCTCCTTTTGATAGTGTATGATCATTTGCAAAGCAAGGTCAATCAACATCTTAATGTAAGAGAGTGGTCACAATATCTTAAAACGCTACTTTTGATCGGAAATTTAGATTATATCGGTAGTACCTTTTATTGAAAAAACGCAATCTGCTTCCTGACAACAATTTTAAAGTACAAGATTGGGTTAGAAGTGATAAAAATAAATTTTGAGTAAATTATAATTTGTGTTTTGTTAATTATCTAAAAGCGTTTTGCAGAAATATGACGAAATGTTGCATACTAACCTCAATTGTGTATAGATTGTAAAATTGCGAAATTTTAGCAAAGATTCAGAAAAAAAAACCCAACTCTGCGAGTAGATATTACACATTTAAAACGCAACAATTTGAGGTTTCTTTTTAACATACACGCAGAAAAAAATATGCAGTTGAAAAGTCAAAATTTGATGATCGATCACAGGATATATTCGTGTACTCTTGGTAACTCGTAACCATGGTAAGAATAACCTAGTTTCTATAGACTGGTTTCCTTTCGTTCATCTGTTTGGCTCTGAAAACAAGGTTGACTTAGATACCCGTATGTTGTAAGGGAGAGAACCAGCATTCGAGTTTCAATTATTCGTAATTGACGGACAGATATTTAATCCGTCTTTGTTTCGAAACATTGGTGTACATACGTAATTTGATAGAACATCTTGTGATAAATTATAAGCACACAAAAGTCGCGGCGAATCTACGTTGTGTTGCATCAACTTCCGAAGAAAGATCGTGATATGCAGCTCTACGAAATTCCCGAATGAATGCGTTTAACGAGTTTACGGGCTTAAGTCCTTGGTTGGACTTTGATATAATACACTTGGTGAACTTTTACCAGCTGATAAATTTTCAGCGCTTTTTTTAAATATGGTGTACGTACGTTATCATATCAAATTTTATTTCTGAACATCTTTACTTTTTGAAGAAGCTGAAAAATAAAATATAACATAAGATTTGTAAAATAAAGAATAGAGAATTGAAACGGCGAATGTGTCAATGAGACAACAATCTTACTAAACAGCAAGCAGAAAACAGCCCGTGGCCACCAATATGCCTTCAAAGCAGAGAGAAAATCCTGCACCCGCAGGCGGGTTTCAGCTAGCCCATAAACAATAATGTATTTCATCGAAATGGACAACACACTTAACTTCGAAACATATATAAATGAACCAAAACAATACAAGATTAGCAAAGGTCTGAGGTCTTTTCACAGCAATATTACATTTTCGAACGTTAAAAAAAAAGATTTTTTTTTTTCAGTTTGATTCTTGGAGTCAATCTGTGCGATATTCATTGATTGGTCACTGCTAAAGATCCAGCGGCAAAAAAAATACATGCATATTTAGGGCTTGCAAATGCAATATGAAGATATCCTGCTTTAATTATCAATGCGCGAAATAAAACTCATAATTTCAGTGGATATATTTAACATATTGTAGACCATCTTTCAACCCTATCAAAATGATAAAGGACGAGGTCAAGCTTGAGATATAGATATCAACATAGTATTGTCCTAGACAAACTCAAAGCTAGCTTATACGGTTAGTCAAACGGAAAAAGTTACTCAAACTGTTGTAAATCCATGCTAACCAGTCTGTGCTACTCATAGATGCCATGATCTCCGTAGCAGAAGAAAATGAAATTACCCCTTTTATTCAGACTTTTATTATCAATCCATCTAAATATGAAAACCCGAACAGTAAAGAATGGAAACAGGTTAGATCCCGCATAAAAATGTAAGAACTAGTCTATGTAAAATGTATTGCTACACGTATAGTAAAGATCCATAGATGAATATGGAACGTCATAGCTGTCTTATGTGTCGTTTTTATTGCTTTTATTTATACGATGGTGGTTTTCTATTATACGAAGGTGGTTTTCTATTATACGATAGTGCTTTTCTATTATACGAAGGTGCTTTTCTATTATACGATGGTGGTTTTCTATTATACGAAGGTGCTTTTCTATTATACGAAGGTGGTTTTCTATTATACGAAGGTGGTTTTCTATTATACGATGGTGGTTTTCTATTATACGAAGGTGCTTTTCTATTATACGATGGTGCTTTTGTATTATACGATGGTGCTTTTGTATTATACGAAGGTGCTTTTCTATTGTACGATGGTGCTTTTTTATTATAATAAGGTGCTTTTTTATTATGTGATGGTGGTTCCCGTGATTAACCGGAAGCGTGGCGTGTATTTGAATCTCACCGAACCAACATGGCGGCCATGGCTGTGAATACTAAAATGTTAAACGTTTTAAAGAAATTAAACTTGCAGCAAGCATTTCCAGACATTGTATGTAGGCTTTCGACACATAAAATGGAAATATTAGGTGTATCTAGTAGGACAGATATGATGAAGTTAAGAACTGAATGTGTAAAATATGGAACGTCTGCCCTTAATAAAATAAACTCTGAATGAGGCCCTCCGAAATTTGATATTCCAAAGTCTGTTCTAAAAAATGTTCTGGAAAATGGATTTAAAATATCCGACATTTCTAAATTGTTGTCCGTGTCTGAAAGCACCATTTACCGAAGAATGTCACAGTTCGGATTAAGCAAAATAATTTTTACACAAATTGATGACAGTGATTTCGACTTGAGGTATGGGCTGGTCATAGACTACGCACTGTTAATTCATCTCCATTGAGCTTGCGGACTTCAGGTCAACTTCAAAATGCCGTAGGAATTACCGAAGGAGAAGCAAATTTGCAAGATTATGGAATTGAAGGCTATGTTGATCAAAATGATGTAGAAGAGGGCGAGAGACCAATATTTGGACCCCTTGCACACATAAGTGATCAATGCAGGCTGGATTTAACTCGACAATTGATAAGAAGCAATACTAACTTTGAAATAGATTATTATCTTTAATGTTTGGAAGTCATTGAAAGAAATAACTAAACTGGTTATTAAAACTTATTTGTAATTTACTAAATTGCCTTCATATCTTGATCGTAAATGGATAACTGCATAACTTCTTTATATACTTAATCTTATTAAACCCCATGACTTTTCAACAACTTCAAGCTTTAAAGTGGTATATTGGTAATATGTAACTGTATCATTTTGTGTAGAGGTAGTACATCCTCTAACTATTTTAGTATTTATTATAACTATGCTGTATCACGTTCGTAATTATATTTATTATAACGTTTATTGGATTGTATTTTCAGACATTCCTATTTTCCGGAAATGAATCTGGACTTATCCGTATGTTCACTACCGTTTACTTTCTCTTCCTCGCCTGTCTATTACAGATGGATGCCACAACAAAACTGCTCCTGTGGATATTGTGACAAATCACCGTCAAGTACGTTTCAAGTCGATTATAAATTGTTAGATATATATTCCGTTAATTCCGCTAACTTGACAAACACGTTTATTCCACAAATGTGAACTGTAATTGTTTATTTCTATGAATTGAACTGAGAATTCTACTTTCGTTTTTGACTTGATATTAATATTGCCTTGAACGTTCATATATTTCTTTCGTGCATATTGTAAAATATTGTATTTTTATTTCTTTCAGTTTACCAAACTATACACACTCTGTATAAACTCCTGTATCCCTTCTGGTGGAATTATAATCTACAATCTTCAAACACAAGTTGTTATTTTTATAATTTGCCGAGATTGCGATTCAATCACATGGTTATACTAGCTGAGTCAGGCTCAGCATAGTAAATTGACGACAACCTGTCTTTACATATCCAGACAAGGAACGACAACGTAGCAACGTACATACCTTTACACTGACAGTGCACAACACAACTTGTGTGTACTAGGCAGCAAACCAACAAGGTTGAGCCATCATGGATCCCAGTCACGCGGAACAGCAAGACGAGGTTAAGCCCCCAGAGGGAGATAATTCTGAAGAACTAATAGAAAATCCGTCTAATACCACACATTTAGATGAAAATCCCGAGACTAGGCGAGTACGTGATCTCACCGAAAAAGGACACGAAGCATTCGCAGAGAAACGCGACAAGTTCTGTCAGGAGCTAGAGGCCCTTTGGTCAGGTTTAGAATTCCAGATATTGGAAATGACCACTCCTCCAAACGAGCTCCAACAACTGCTTACAGCAGAGGACAAAATCGTACAAGCCTGTACTCATTATCGCAAGCGCATAGATGAGTACTTGAACTTTCTGAAGAAGACCAGAACGCCGGAAAGTCTTAAGAACATAGACACATGTAATCTTTCATCAGATCAGAAATACGACTGTCTAAAGTGGACCTGGCTATGGAAACCCTGCACGAGCATCGCCTCGCTCTCACAAAGGCTAAATCCACCAAAACAAAAACATCTAAGAGTAAGAAAACCTCGTATAGCGGAAGTTCCACCGTCTCAGACATGTCAAGCCTAGCACGGAGGAAGCGTGCCAAAGCAGAGGCTGCTAAGTCAAAAATAGCCTTTGCCGAAAAACATGCTTTGATCATTAAACAGGAGGCGTTATTAGAGGAACAGGCTCTGTTCAGACAAACTGAAATCAAAGCCGAAATGGAGCAACAAGCCATTCAAGCAGTACAAGAAGCCTTACATAAAAAAGTTCAAATGGAACAAGAAGCCTTATGCAAAAAAGTTCAAATGGAACAAGAGGCTGCACAAAGAAAAGTTCAAATGGAACAAGAGGCTGCACAAAGAAAAGTTCAAATAGAACAAGAGGCCTCGTACCCGAAAACTCAAATGGAACAGGAGGCAACACAAAGGAAAGCTCAACTAGAACAAGAAGCCATTCGCAGAAAAGCTCAACTAGAACAAGAGGCTGCACGTGTACGCCGGGAAAAGGCTGAACTAAAGGCCAATTTGAACCTTCTCGAAGCACAGAGAGAAGCTGCAGCCGCAGAAGCAGAGGCTCGTATCCTGGAATACGATGGCAGCCAAGCATTTAGCGATCTCCCTGACGAAACAGAAGACCCGCTCCAGCGTGTGCAAGATTTCGTTAATAAGCATCCTGTACCAACTGCTGTACGGGAAGTAACAGGACCTCAAAAGATAAAGCAAATTCCTGTTAAGATTGAGCTGAGTCATGAAGCACCAGCATTCGTGCCATCCGTGACACTGAACTTGCCGTCACAGACATCTGCTGTCTTGCCTTCCGATACTAAGTCACCGGAAGTTACCTTAATCCCAGATCATGGAAAAGTAACCGGTATACAAAAACTAGGCCTTTCAGATGAGATCCATGCTGAACACCAAAAACAGGGTGTTAAAGAAGAGATCCCTCTTGCACACCAGCAACAAATCAACCCTACATCGGAGATAACTAGATTTCTCTTGCGTAAGGACCTGCTTTTCTCCCGACTAACAAGCTTTAACGATCGGGCAGAATCCTTTCATACATGGAAAGCAATTTTTAAGAACGTGACTGACAATTTGCAAGTCTCTGACTCGGAACACATTGATTTACTGATCAAGTGGCTCGGTCCAGAGTCTGCTAAACATGCCATTAGCATAAGAGCGTCGAACGCCAATAATCCTACAAAAGGTATACAAAGACTATGGAAGAGGCTTGACGAGCGGTATGGTGCTCCAGAAATGTTGGAAGCCTCACTCACGAGTAAACTTGCCAAATTCCCAACCTTGACGAATAAGGACAACGCACGTCTCTATGAACTGTCTGACATTCTATCAGAAATAGAATATCACAAGGAAAATCCCAAGCTGGGATGTCTGCTAGCTTATTTTGATTCACCGTCCGGAATAAACCCTGTCATTGAAAAACTACCATATGGACTTCAGGAAAAGTGGATTACAAGGGCGTCTAGATACAAATCTAACCACGGCGTTGCCTTTTCTCCCTTTACAGAGTTATCTGCAGTCATCAGTGAAATCAGCAGAATTGAAAACGATCCCAAATCAAAAGGTGCTGCGCCAAGGTTCACGTCTTACCCCGAGACTAAAGTTGGTACTCATAAAA